GCAGCATCAAATTAACAAAAATCATTTTAGTTTAACATGCTGTGTTAAGGGCTCTCGATATTCACTAAGATGCTATAGATACCATAGTGTTTTTGGATTTTATGGAGTACAAGTCCCATAATTCTCCATTCTGAAATATCTACCTAACAGATACCAGTACACCAAGATGTGACTCACCTGGGAGGAAGACCAAAACTGAAAGGCATTGTGGCCTAGGTAGGTGTAGCTGTGCCTAGATTCCTGTTCAGAAAGGAAGCTGTCCCACTGCGAGCTGGAGATTTCTTTCTGAATACTATGAAGCTAGGCCTACTGTAGATAAGCCACAAAGCCTTCCAGCTTAAGCCCTTCTCTCAGGTAAGCCATATTTAGGTAGAATTTGCAAAATAGAGAATTACGGGATCTGTAGTCCAAAGAATCCAGAAATCCCATGCCTAATAGAGAAAGGTCTTACAGTACTATATGCCTTATTTAGGTAAGAAGAATATGGTGTAGTACTGCATGTTAAGTTTCATCTTCATTGCAGTTTTGAAGCTTGATGGCACTCAGTGGCAGACTGTGGCCCATGTCCAAGAATAGTGTGTTTACTGGAATAGACATGTGGAGCTGAAACAAATAAATTTAACAATACCTGTGCAGGTACCCATCAGACAAGAAAGTTGTGCATATCCCTAACAATAATTTAGCCCAGTCCACTTCCATAAGTAAAACACAATTTCTAAATATTTTTTTTGTGGGGAAAAATAGTAGAACCTTCAGGAGGTGCAAAAGATAGTAGATCTGGAAGATGCAAGCCAGGGCATTATTCCAGGTCAGATCAGTTTGTAGCAGAATTTGTAGTGGTTGAATCCCCCAAGCATGACTATTATTTTGTATTTAATTTTCATTCATTTTCAGCAGGGATAGGAATTGGGTATAGGGGGCTGGGGGAGTGGACATGGGTAGGGGAAGGGTAAAATTCTAGAAAGCACGAGGGTACTTTTACATCCACTTATACAATTCTATTAGGAAAAAAAAACAATTTAACAGGTTTTACCAGAATTTCTATAGTTATTAGTATCTTCATTCCCTGATTGTACCTTTGTGTTCTTATTTTATTTATGCTTTCCAGTCCATATTTCAAGTCCAACTATAAAATAATGCTGTTCTTGATTCATATTTTGGAAGGCAGGAATTTTAGAAGAAACTAAAATAGCAAACTGCTTTTCCATATTATTTCTCTTTAGTGAAAGTATGCCAACCACCTTTTGAACTCTGTTGCATTGCATTCTTTTGTGTCTTCCTGAAGAATGTATTATTGTTATGGTAAATGTATCATTTTGTCTATTTTTGCAAAGTGAAGAATGTTACTCTAAGCTGCTTTTCGGTGGACACACATCTGCACAGTTAGTGATGAATTAAGAAATGATGTAATGCTTTCTTAGTATGTATCCAATACCCATGCTGGGAATGGCTGGGTACAGTTCAGGCAAAGGTAGTTCCGATTGATGGGAAAGCCATTCCCACCTCACTCCTCCCCACTGCAAGAGGAATTATAGGCAGGGAAAATAACCAGCATTCCACGTCTAATTTGTGCATGAAAAAATATATCTACACACACACACACACACACACACACACAAGACCACACCGCCGAGCATGCATATATACTCATTTTTTCCCAGTGGCACAACTTGTTGCTTTAAATTTGGGGACTGGGGGTAAGCTTTTTCATATTGTGTAGAAAGGCAGTTGTGCGACAGTGCTAGTCCTGTTTATAGCTGGGAAAATAAAGTAAGGATGCTGAACCAAAACTGGAGCAATGTAAGCCTAGGAAAACAACTTCAGCTATAGCTTATGTTGTATTTAGTCCTATGGGGAGAGGCAATAAAGAGAGAAGTGAGCCTCCCTCAATTCTGCTATCCAGTTGAGAAGAAATGAAAATGTTGATACCCTTGAAAACTGTGTTTTGTTGGCAATAATAACAATGAATAAAACTTCAGTTGATGTAAGGTGTACTGTTAAAGTATAGGTAATTTGTAGCTCTTCAGATGTTGCAGTGCAGGCGCCAGCAGCCCAGACCAGTATAGTCAATGGGAGTTGCTCTCCAACAACATCTGGAGGGCCATAAAGAACCCACTTTGTCTTTGCTGAAGATAGTGCAACCAGATATAGTTCAAATAAAACCAGTCACTGTACATGCTGTCAAGTTGATTTGAACATAGAGAATCTTTTCAGGGTTTTCTAGGTAGCAAGTGTTCAGAAGTGGTTGACCAGTGCCTCCTTCCCAGAGTGCTCTGTCTATGTGCAGCTTACCCAAGGACACACAGGCAATTAAACTGCCAATCTCTGGCTTGGTGGCCAGATACCTAATAAGCTGAGCTATCCAGTCAGAATTAAAGTTCCAAATAACATTACGTGAAAACTCTATTGAGGCTGGCTTTTTATTCTGTGAAACTTATTCAATCCTGATTATTTCAAAGTATGTTTTTCTCAGTATGATAATTATCTTGCAAGAATTTGTGTACAGTATTAACATTAGTGGATTTTATTTAGAGTGTTTTCTCTATTGAGTACATTTCTCTCTCTCTCTCTTTCTCTTTATGTGCGTGGTTTCTATTTTTTTTCTGTTGTAAATGGCTATGAAACATTATAAATAGTAGTAGTCTAACATTCTTTTGATAACTTAAATGCAGTGCCCTGGAGTAAACCCGGTTACTTTATTTGTAAACTTCTATAAATATGTCTTTTTTTTCTTGATTTCTATTATGAAGAGAAGGAGGGTTTTTATATGAAGATTTTCCTACCATATAGCCTCCCAGATAGGTAAAGCTTTATTTGTCAGTTTACTGCCCATTGTGTAGCTCTTAAATACACCACAGCCTTTTTAGCGATAAAGTTGATAACCTTATTAAGTATATGATCTTTTATCAAAACTTTCTTTAACTAACTGATTCAACTGTTGTCGGTTCTTGAGTTTTGAAAGTTAGGGATAGGTTAGTGTTCTTTTGTAAGACTCTTAAACAAACTTTGTATTTATAGCTGATACCTATTTTAAAGACATTGTTTCCTATGGGTTTTCTAATAAAAATGAAGACCTGATTCACATTTGCAGATGATGATGATGATCTCCTTATCCAGGATTTTTAATAAAAAGGAAATATCTAAACTCCATTAAACACAGCATATATCTTTTCCCCAGGGTATGAAAATGAACTCAGCCATTTCAAGAACAGGAAGAAACATGCATCATGAGATCTAATAGATCATCCAAATTGGTCCCAAACTGACTTGCAAAAATAGATTTGCAAAGCTTTTTGTTCAGAACAAGTTTAGCATTTCAAAACTCAGAACAGAAAATGGAATAAATCAGTTTCTTTGCAGATTCTCCCTTTAAAACGTAATGTTTCCAAACAAAGGAATGATAATTAATATAAATGGAGTCACCTGTCTGCTATTTTCTCTGCTGTGAGAAAGAAAATATGGTCTTGGTTAAGAGAGCATGTAAACAAGTATTAAAAATTTATCCCAACTTAAAGAAAATGCTGACTAATACATTATAACAGTTTTTTTAAATTTTTTGTTGTTAGCATGTTATGGCATGATTAGAAATTTCATGTGCTTATAGTTATTTATGTTGTACTCTGTGGGTATAAATATGTGTGTTTGAATTAAATGTAACAAGCAATTCAAAAACTTTGGAAGTTTGCTTTTTCCACTGTTGGTCAACTTGCAAAGAAGTATCTCAGTGGTGAACTGGTTTTAAAGAGACTTGTGCTTCGTTTCTATATTTTATGGGTAGGACCATAGTATACAGTATGGTTGGCTCCCTTCAAAGGTGGGTAGAGGGGTTCATCCACAGGGTGGATTGCTTAATTGCAGACTCGTGTGTCTGTCCCTCTTAGCCCCTATGGAAGCACCTGTACATCTTGCCTCTCAGATGTTGAAGGTCATGCCAGAGGTGACAGACACAGGCTTCTGATTTCTTTCTAGAGATATGAAAAACTCTATAGGGCTCTTAGGAAATTGTTTAGGCATCAGATTTTGTGACCTGATATTTTAATATTGGTGCAGGCAAAAAGCAAGGAAATTTTAGGGTGCCATAGAAAGTGAAGAGTCCTGGGGTTATGCCCTCGAAACTGAAAGACATTCCAAGGCTGTAGCTAACACATACATCTTTCATTTATATAGTAAATTTTTAAAGTTTTCCTTACCCAAATGTGTTGAGGGTACACACAACACAACAAAACCAATCAATATTAAAATAATCTACAGGGTATATAATTTCCCTCTGATTGCAAGCAGTGAAAAGAAATGACAAAAGAAGAAAAATCTTGAGGAGCAATGAATGATGACAACAGAGCACCTCCATTCTGCCCTGTCTGTTCAAATTCAGCAAGCCTTTGGTGACAGTATTTAATCTGTCTTTGGATCTTGTCCCCCTGACACACACCTGTAGAATTGCTCTACCCAAGTTATACTAGGTTTGTCTGTGTGATTCAGTGCAGAATCCATATGTGAAGACTGCACATAGGCATTAAACATTGTAAAGGTAGGCAACACATTTTTAGCAGGTGAAGCACTATCACATGCTCACCACCTTTCAACTTGATCTCATGCTACAAACATAAATATTTAAACTAGCATGTCTTTTGTCTGCCAGCTAAAGGGTATATATGGGTTGCATAGCGGCATTTCAGCCAGAGAACGAGCACCTGTGACTTGCTCTGTGATTAGAGCAAAGGGGAGAGTGGATACTTAGTGACAAACATCTTTTACACAGTCTGCTATCAATTAACCAGAAAGATGCCCTTTATGATCCTTTAAAAATAGTACCCCCTCTCCAAGTTTCATGAAAGTATTCTTTTACTGAAAAAAAATCAAAAACTAAGTTGATTTGCATTTTTAAAGTGAAAAATAGAAAACAAGGTGGTTATGTTGGAAAATGTGTTCATTGGTCTTATTACTCTGCCATTCTATGCTTTCATTTATTCATATTTCTACATATTCATGTTTTATTACAGGTTGATGCCTTGAGATTACGTTTAGAAGAAAAAGAAAGTTTTCTTAATAAAAAAACCAAACAACTGCAAGACCTCACCGAAGAAAAGGGAACTCTGGCTGGAGAAATTCGAGATATGAAAGACATGTTAGAAGTCAAAGAACGAAAAATCAACGTTCTTCAAAAAAAGGTAGGTATTGTGTCACTTGATGCTCACCCAGCTTCCTCTGTCCATCGTGTACTGCCACCACCTCTTAACCCCTTCACTAAGTTTGGAGAAGTAGTAGAGGCAATAATATCCCTTTTAACTAAATCAGGCAAAAAGTCTGGCATTGCTTCTTTTTGAGAAAATCCATGTTGAGTATTAGAAATCATAGCTTCTCTTTTTAAGTACTTGCAGACTGACTGTTTAATGATGTGTTTTAGAACGTTTCCTAGTATTCATTATCATCATCATTTTACAACTTCTCAGTAAGGTGTCACCTACTGCCACTACATGTCTTCTGCTGCGAAGTGACAGGAAGCCTTTCATCCTTCCATGCAACATGTCTTCTTTTGAGGATTGTTTTCCCTCAATTTTTTTTAAAAAAATGTTATTTGGATAATTAAACATGTTTTTTGATGGGGTGGTGAATTTGTTGCTTCTGTGGACTAGAGTAGGGGTAGGTTTTGTGACTGCGCCAGTGTACCACCGGCTCTGAGGGTGGTTTTTGTTGTTGGTTGGCCACAGCTTTGAGCATTTCTCTTTTTCTTCTTGGTGGTACAGTATATTGTTGTTTGATGTGGTGAGTGGGCATCTCTGTAGAACAGGCAGCCAATGCCTGACTGGATGACTGCTACCTGGCCTGTTTCTCTTGTGTTGCCCAGACTGTTGTGTTGGGTGGGTGGCGCCGAACTTATAGTTGTTTGAATGTGATAATATAAATTAGTGCCTGCATAGATTGGATGATTATTTTTCTCTATCCTTTACTGTTTTACACACACACACACACACACACACACACACACACACACACCAAAATGAAACAAAATAGGCACTTGTCAAAAGAATCAACAATGACAAAAATGAAAATTTTCACCATGCACATCCCTAGTTTTACTGAGTGAAGTTTCATATTCAGTTTATTTTTGAAAAAAAAAATGTCAAAATTTGCTAATAACAAATTCAGGACAGAAAGGGCCTGATGTTTAACAGATTCAAATGCAGGGGGAAATTAAACTGGCAGATATTTCTTTTATCACCAACACCCCTTTAAGAAGGTTTCCCTCCCTAGGAAAAAAACCTCTGATATGAAAATCTGAATATAGAGCCTGCCTCCACATTGCAATTTTTCCCAAGGAGAATTTCAGTAGATGTCTCTGTATATCTGCTGTGATATTTGTACATAATACTGGTTAGGAAATAATAGGGAGGTGCATAATGCAAACAAACCTTGTATGTGTTTATGGAGGGGGTCTCAAAAACTTAGTTTCCTAGAATGAATGTAATCTCTGCAAGCACAAATTAACTCATGTTTTTACTTGCACGCTCAAACAGATTCCCCACCCACCCCAGCTCCTGTAAATGTAATGGCTTAAATTGTATAGTATGGATAAAACATCAGAAAAAGTCTTTGTGGAAAAAAGCCTGCTAGGTTATGACTGTAGTTTCCTATGTGGCCTTCAGGAGTGCATGATTTATTTCCAACAGATGGTGTGATAAATTCATTCACAGATGATTTATCTAAAGAAAGTTTTAACTGAAACATTATCCCCCTTTCCCTCCAATTGTTTAAGTAAATTCATATCATTATACTAGAAAGAAAATGCTCAGTGTTTATTTTCCTTATGTCTGGTGTATAGTCCCCAAGTTAGACATTCAGTAGTTTTCCATTTAACTGGCTGTTTTCTTCTTCTTCTTCTTTTCTTTAAGGAGTATTAAAAATTCCGCTCCTTACTGAGTCCATCAGCCTTTGGATTGATTATAGAGCATGTCTTCCTTTCCGAAAGCTCTTTCCTCTTGGCTTTATCCAGAGGGCTGTCTCACTTTTTCCCCATCACCCTGTAAATTATTCTGCCATTTCATTTAGTAATTTCATATAGTGGCACAGAGACTTTCTTGTCCATTTAATGTTATGACATACATTTTAGCAAATCCACTATATCTCACAGTCCTAATCATACAAGGACCTTTGTTGCTCATTGTACTATTCCTGGAGACCTTCAAGAAAATTTCTTGCTTTCACTCTCTGACCCCTTCCCAGGTTCTGATCACCTCTTAACTGTTAACAGTTGATTTTATTGAATAGTCTTCTTCTGAGTAATAATAATAAACATTTGAAATAATAATAAACTCTCAGCCATAACTCAGTAGTGGCAGTTTTAGAAGAAGTAGCTGTGTTAGTCTGTTCAAGCATATCAGGCAAAATCCAAAGAAACAAAACAAAACAAAGACAAAAACATGTGGCACCTTAAAATCTATCTAATATATTTTAATATAAGCTTTTGTGGACATGTCCACTTTGTCAGACATCTCGAAACAAATGAAATTTTGGATGAAATATCAGTTTCACGGTTAGAATATTCTAAATATTCATTGGCTACATGAAGTAATTAGGCTTATGTTTGTTTTAGGGTTCAGTTGTAAAAATTCCTCCAGAAAATAAAAAAAAACAGACCCCAGATCTGAGCAAAAATGAATGGAGCAAGGAGAGAGAACACAGAAGAGAGAGAAAGTATGTGTGTGTGGAGGGGTTATGACTTGGGATTTAGTTAGAAGGGGGAAAAGAATATAAAATAAATATAAGAGTGAAAGAAGATAGCAGAGGAATCACATGTGTTAATGTAGGGAATATTGACAGTTTTTGCCTTTGAGCCTTGTGATGAGAGATAGGCTTGGTAGTTGCAAAGAAAACAGTGGCCATGGGTAACAGCAGAAACATGACTTAAGAAACCTAGGTTTATATTCAATCCATTTATATGGGTGTCCATAATCTGTATAAATTTTATACCAGCTGTTTGTTTGTTTGTTTATTTATTTATTTATATCCCACCTATCTGGTCTTGTAAGCACTCTAGGCGGCTTACAAACACATGAAACAACAAATAAAAATATAACAAAATGTAATTATTCCGTCAAATAGCAGTACTTCAAGATGGAAAAAAAAGGAAAGAGAAGAGGAAAGAATCAAATATTCTTTTCTGTTTCCCTGCGTCTTGTTGATTTGTAATTATTTTTTTTCTAAAATAATGACTTTCAAATCTTCCACAAAATGTCCTGGTAGGTTGAAACGTTTGGAGACAAGTTTCTGTGTATTGTGGTTTCTGATGTCAGATTTGTGGCTGTTGATCTGTTTCCGTAGATATTGTTCTGTTTCTCCTGTATAGAGAGCAGAGAGGTGTTACTGGCAAAAGTTGACATAGATCACATTAGCTGAGTAACAAGTAAAGGTGCCTTTGATATTGTGTGTGGCATTGTTAGGTCCCATGATAATGCTGCCAGAATAGATGTGTTGGCAGAGTTGGCATCTGAGTCTGTGGCAGGGTTTAGTCTCCCTGTTTGTGTTCCTGTTTTGTGGTGCATTGTGTGTTGGTATTTGCTTGAGGTTGTCTGTAGGCAGGTAAGGGTCTCCCACCAAGGGCTTTGAACAGTAAAGTGTTGTTGTCAAGGATGGGCTGGAGATTGCTTAAGGTGTGTGTGAGTGGTCTCAGCTGTGGATTGTAAGAGAGGAGTCCATTTTGTAGAGTCTCTGTCTTGTGGGTCAGAGCAGATGCAATTGTATGTTAAGGCTTGGCTGTACAAGATGGATGGATAACTTTATTACAGCCGAAGACCATCAATGGCTGTACACAATGGATTTTGTTACCTTTTCAGGATGAAAGCTGGAACAGTGGAAGTAGGTATATTGACTGGTGGGTTTCTGTACAGCATGATGTTCACAGTGGTGTCTAGAAAATGCACCTGCTACAATCTATAGATTGTTCCAGGGTGAGGTTGATGTTTGGGTGAAAGTTATTGAAATCCTGGTGAAATTTTTTTAGGGATTACTCTCCATGGGTCCAGATCAGAAAAATGTCATCAATGTACCTCAAATAGCGGAATGGCTTTTGAGTGCAGCAGTTAAGAAAGTGTTGTTCCAGATCCACCATGAATATATTTACATATTGTGGGACTATGTGAGTGCTTCTTCAAGTTCCATTGATCTGGAGGTGGGTTTTATTGTCAAAGGTGAAACAGTTGTACTTGTGTGAGTACAAAGTCACAGAGGGTGGTGGTTGTGTGAGCTTCTTCATTGTTTTGAATGGTGTTTGTGATAGCTTGTAGCCTGTCAGTAGTGGTGCATATGCTTTGCATTCAAAACTCGGCTCCATGCCATTTCTAGTGAAAAGATTAGGCAGCAAATAATTGGAGAGACTTCACTGTAGGAATTTGGACAACTAAAGTTGACAGTTATGGGTGAGATGAACCTGTAATTTGAATTGATAGCTGAAATCCTGTTGCTTAGTATAGTAAGGTACACTAGAGTAGGTCCACTTGAATCAGTGGAACATACAGAGGAGTTGACTCACAAAATTCCCACTGATTCAATGGTCTTAATTAGACTTAGTACTAAGTGTCATAAAACCACATTTGTAATATTTAAAACTGGTACGTAAGGACCTAACAATGTATACTTGATACTTGGTGGTGCTGAGGTGCTCAGAGTAATCTTAAAAATGTAGGGCCCATTGTCGAGTGTATTTTTTCTTTGAGATTTAGAGTATTCGAAAGTTAGTAAAAGTATTTGGTGGAACAGCAGATAGTACTTAAATTTAGATTAAATTGCTGATAATTTAGAGCAATGTTTGAGATGTTTTGATGAGCCCTCATTCCATTTCCTTACTACCAGCTGTAAAAAAACACACCTCTTTTTTACAAAAAGGTCAGGAGGTCTGATTATAGAGAGATTCCCATGCTTATGTCTAACTTGGAAAACTCATCATAGGATTATTCTGGCTCATTAATTTCAAGATAAATATTTCTTACAAATGGCATCCCCATGTGGTGGAAGATGGTATTTACTCTGTCATAGGAAAGGGAAAAGTCAAGGCCACATATTATGGTTCAAAACCTATTCTGAATGTACTTCAGTTTAGGAATTAATATTATCAGATAAAATGGAAGTACTAATGATCAAGATTCCCCCCTCCCCAAATATACCAGTGGCAGGT